AGAGTGATCAATTCTAGCAGAGAGGAGAGGAAATGGATCAACAAAGGCACCAGAGGGGAAATCATCTTTGAGCTGAATCTTGAAAGAACACTAGATCCGCAACAGAGAATAAATAATGATCGAAGAAGTAGGAAGAGTCTATTCACTCATTCAGGTATTCATTCGACCAACATTTATTGAGTGACCACATGTCAGGCACTGGACTAGGTACTAAAAAACGTGAAGATAAAATACATTCTTTACCTAATAAAAGATAAACAGGTAAATAAGCAATTATATTACGAAAGGTATAGTAGACTGCCTCTAAAATAGCCCCCTGTGTTAAGGAGAATAACTCCAACTTCATCTTTGATATTCAACCCCTGACAGGTTTCATGCCCCAACTTCCCCTTTCCCTTTTGCTCTATATCAAGGTAAGAATATAAGAAGCCTTGGCTCTACCAGTTAATGCTCATGGAAAAGTTCAAACCGCCCTAAATCCATTCCTGTGGGAACCCTCACTAAAGTCCCACTTTCCACCACAATATAAAAACCAAAGCCACTGCCTTCTCTCTTCTCTCAAGACTTTCCGGGCTGGTTTTTGTACCTGCCCTACTTTCTTCAGAAAGACCCATTAGGTGAGTAATAAATATTTATAAACCGTCTTGATGCATGTGTGGTGTCATCTGTCTTAACATGTGAACCGATTATGAGTGGGGGTTTATTGCCCTCCACAGGGCAACCGTAGAACACCCTCAATGATCCCAGCACCCTGGTGTTTATGTTCTTGTATAATCCCCTCCATCTGAGAGTGGGCTGAGCATAACAAATAGAATATACCAAAAGTGATGCAACCTATCAATTTTAAGTAATAGGAGTAAAGTAATCCTGTGCATTTAGATTGCGAAGACTTTAGTTTCTCTCTTGCTCGTGCTGTACTGCTGTCTTCCTCACTTTGATGGTAACCAGCTAGCATGTTGTGAGGTACACTACGAAGTGAGTACTGAGGGAGGACTACGGTCAATGGTCAATGAGGAATGGAGACCCTCAGGATATCAGCCTATATGAAACTGAACCTACCAACAGCAATGTCAGTGAGGTCTGAAGTGGACTGTCTCACAGCTGAACCTTCATATGAGGCCTCTGCTTTGATTCACATGTCGAGTGTAACCTTGTAAAAGACACTTAAATAAAGGATCCTGTTAAGCCATGCCTGGATTTCTTCTGACCCTCAGAAAATGTGATTCAATAAATGTTTATCATCTTAAGGCACTGGTTTTCAGGGTAATTTGTTAAACAACAATAGATATCTCATATAAAGGAGTATAGCAGTGATAAAAATATCCCAAGATAGTATGATACTTCGGGGTGGTGGTGAGGCATGGCTGGCTAACCTAATTGAACATCACGGTAAAGCATGGAGACATGAGAAGTCTGACAAATCCATGAAATGTGGGTGCTTAAAATAACTTAGTATGGCTGAACTAGAAAGTCGGAGCATGGTCTGTCTCTGGCTGGGCCTGGAAAGATGCACTGAAGCAGGATATGCAAATACCTTGTAAGGCCATGTTAAGAGGCAAAAAGAAGTCATTAAAAATTTCTAAATAACACAACAACAGGATCATATTTATGTAACCTGAACCTGTGCTGTTTTCACCCTCTGATTCAGACATGTCTGGGAAGGTTTTAAGGGCTAGTGGCCTGGGCCCTCAGTAATCTGATTGCATGACTAGTCTAGAAATATCCTGGGAAATAAGTCAATCTGTAAGAAGCAAGGGTTCCTAGGACTCTTCGAGTCAGTAAGAGAAGAGAAGGAGTTCTAATTGTAGCAGTGCAGTATCTGCCGCTCAGATTATCCTTCATTCCAGCCTCTATGGATTGATGACTGAGCCCCAAAAAAGAAAAAAACTGCAGTCACAAGCAGAAAATCTAAAAGGACTATTTCACAAGTTTCCCATGAGACTCAGATCCCAAAACAATACCATCAAATCAACAGCAGTGTAGTCAGTAGATTTGGCAGGAAGAAAGGTACTGGCTGCTTTGCAAGGACATTGGCATCTTAAATATTAGACACCAGCACTGGCGTCAGTGCCCTGGTAAGGACTCCAGATCTTCCAGAAGGCATTATTCTCTTCTTTTAGGAGCTAGAACAAGAGAGAAGAAAAATAGTGGACAACAACAAAACAACCCTAAAAACAAAACAAAACAAAACAAAAAAACTAGAGCATACATGAAACATCACTGGTCCCCTGGTTCCCATATCTGGAGAAGAATTTGAGGAAACTAGAGTTTCTTTGATAGGGACATTGGGGGGGGGGAATAAAAAAAAGAAGAGGAATGCTACTTTTTATTAAATTTTATTCTTTATTTTTTATTTTTTTAAATTTTATTCTTTAAGACAGTTTAGATTTACAGAAAAATTGAGCAGATAGTACAGAGTTTCCAGATCCTTACCCTTTGCAGTTTCCTTGATTACTCACATTTTACATTAGTATGGTACATCTGTTTACAATTAATGAAACAATATTGATATGTGATTATTAACTAACAACTATAGTTTATTCAGATATCCTTAGTATTTATCTAGTGTCCTTTTTCTACTCTAGAATTCCATTCAGGAGACCACATTACATTTAGGTTGTCATGTGTCCTTAGGCTTCTCTTGGCTGTGACAGTTCTTTAAATTTCCCTTATTTTCAATGACCTTGACAGTTTTAAGGAGGATTGGCCAAGTATATTGTAGGATTCCCCTCCACTGGAATACTATGGGTTTTTTCTTATGATGGGACTGCATTACAAGTTTGGGGGAGGAGAAATTTATTTTGATATTGAAGTTATGGCCATTTTTATCTCCATACTGCTTTGGCCTGGGAAATGTATAATGTGTTATATTTGTAATTTGGAAAGATCACTAACGTAGAAGAAAGAGGGAGTGTGGGCAATAAACTAAGTGGTGGCATGACCTACTTGGAGGCTGTTGCAATGATTCAGATAAGATACAATAAAGATCTGAGCTAAGGCAACTGTGATCTGAAGAATGGAAGGGAAAGATACAAGATATGCTAAGACCTTAGAAAACGCAGAATTCTAAAACCAATTCTATATGGATGGGAGGAATCTGCAAAAGTGACTGAGAAGAAATGGCTCAAAATGTGGAAGAAGAACCGAAAAAGCAGATTACCAAAGCCAAAGGGAAAAACATCTCAGGAATGCTTGTAGTCCAATAAATGAGAGCCAACATGATCTTTGGACTTGGAAACTAATAGGGTTATTAGTCAGGGACAGCAGCATGAGCAGAAAGTCTGGAAAGTGAATTGGATGAAAGGAAATAAAAAATAGTGAATGCCAATATTTCTGATTCTAATTATAAAGAAAAGAAGAATCATCAGGGTAGATGTTCAAGAGATATTGAGAATTAGGATGTTTAATGATATGTAAGACATGAGCATATATTTGTAGGCCACATGATATGGAAGAAACCAGTAAAAAAAAAAGATTGAAAATATGGCAAAATGAAAAACTGGTCTGAGAGCAGATAAAAAGATGAAATCATTAATTATAATAAGCTACACACAGTATTTACCTATCCATTTTGGGGGGTGGGATGGGGCTTTGATGCACTCTTTGCATTAACCTTAAAAACACTCCTAGGTGGTTAAGTGTTGCGATTATCCTGATTTTATAGATGAAGAAACTAAAGCATAGAGCAGTGTGAGTCAAGATTTGAACCCAGGTAGATAGACTCCACTTGCTTAATTACTACTATATATTGCTTCTGCAAAGCGTGGGTGGTAGCCTGAAACAGCAGAAGAGGTAATCTGCAATATGGAGGGAAAGCAACAAGTGTGGGTGGCTCGGGGTTGTTGCATAATAAATATTTGTAGGATGAATGAAAGAATAACAGAGTGCAGATACAGATATGTAGCTATAGGGGCAGGAAGTTGATGGAGGGCACACTTTACAATACTGTTTACATCACCATCTATGAATGTGTAACACTTCATACATGAATGGTATAGCACTTGTTTCATTACATTACAATTCTGCATTTCACCTCTGTTTCCTCACTTACCTAAATCCCACTTCCTCAGCCAGGAAGAGGCTGGGACCGACCTGTCCCTTGGATTCCTTAGGCCAGAACTGGAAAAGGCTTCAGAAGGTGTCAGAAGGAGCAAAGGAAGGAGCAAAGCTCAATGAAAAGTTGAAATTCAAAAAGCTGAAAATCAAAGTTCCCCATAAAGATGGAGGCAGCAGAAGCAGGGTTGGAATCCAAGAGAATAGAGGCAAGGATTTGAAATCCTGGTAGTCGAGAACCAGAGAGAGGCCTGGGAAAATGAGCTCAACGGGTTGTCACATTCTGAGTCCGACTTTCAGCTGCCAGTCATAGTGATCGATGGCCAAGCTGGCAAGTTTAAAGGGTCATGAGGAGTCAGTACCTCTAGGTAGTGACATCTTAGGGGCAGAAGATTTGTCTTTTTTAGCGACAGTTAAGTTCTTAGCATCTGACACAGTGCCTCTCTATACTAGATAGAGAATGTGTTAAAAACACTGAATAGGCCAGAACACTAATCATCTATGGGTCTAAAATGTTTAGAGTGATTACTATCTAAATTATAACATCTGAATTTGAACTTGAGAATTATGCTATAATGTCATTTGAATTTGCAATATGTCCCTGGTTTATTATTGGACGTTACTTACCCATATAATATATAGTCCTATTTAAGATGATAAATGATTACCCTTCAAAGGGAACAATAATAGAAACACGATTCATAAATTTATTAATCATTCTTTCTAATTACAGAGAGTCATAGAATCCCCAAACATTTTTACTGGATACATGTGCAACCCAGCTGCCTCTCTCTAGTCTTCACATTTCCCCAAGTTTGTCAGTTAAATTTGATCAGGGAAATAGAAACACTATTAATAATTGTAATCAGTAATTTATCATGGAGATTAGACCTTATGAAATTTGGGGAGCTAATGAAAAAACTGTAGAAGACCATTATTTCTGCCTCTGGTGGTTGGCCCGAAGTCACTGTAGGTCAAGATTCTAGTGGTCTGAACATGAAGAGATGTCTGAGGACAAACTGGTACCTGAAAGGTCAAAATGAAAGCCATGTATAGAAACTAGACCCCACATCTGTCTCTCACCATCTTAAAATTCGAGACGCAAATGACCCGAAGAAGGGATGGATCCTCTTCTCCACAGAGCTGTACACCTGCCTGGCCCAGGACTCTAAAGAAGCTGAAGGAATACATAGGGGAGTGGTTAATCTGCTGGCCCTATTTGGGAGTCAAATGATTTATTATTTGTATTAATTTGCTAAATTAGAAAAACAATAAATCGTTTGACTCACAGATAGGGCCAGCAGGTTAGCCACAACAGACGTTAAGGTTCACCAGTGCCTGGAACTCTTCACCAACCTTCAGATCATAGTTGCTGCTGCTTTTCTTATGTCTCCCAAATCTCACATAGATTTGTACTTTGTCGATTGTAACCGAGAACCGTATAGAAAAAGGAATTCTGGGAAATGTCGTTTTGGATTAGCTGGGTGGATACAATATAAAATAACCATAAGTAACACTTACGTGCGCTGCAAATTTGTGTTTGCCCCTTCTTCAGCATCTCCCCTGCTGCAAAGCCCTGCAGAATGTTTCCAGGTTGTTGGCAAAGTCCTCACATTATCTTGTTTCCACTTGAGGGTAGGCACAGCTAAGTCTCTGATGAAACTGTAGATTCCTGAGAGCAGGGGAAGTATGACACAGCACTAGAAGTGACCCAGCCAGTGCACTTCCTTTTACTTCCATCTACCAATAGGAAACACTAGATGTCAATGTCACCTTCAATTCCTAGAACAGCCACTCACAGTACTAGAGAAAGGAGGAAGATTTCAAATGCCTATGTCTAGATAGCTCCACTTCCAGCTTCCATATCTGCCTACACCTGCTCCTCCCTCAAAGTCAACAAAAAATAGGGGGAGGGGCAAGATGGCGGAAGAGCAGGGTCCCCAGGTCACCTGTCCCCACCAAATTACCTAGATAACCTTCAAACCATCCTGAAAATTTACGAATTCGGCCTGAGATGTAAAGAGAGACCAGCTGGAATGCTACAGTGAGAAGAGTTCGCGCTTCTATCAAGGTAGGAAGACGGGGAAAAAGAAATAAAGGAACAAAAGGCCTCCGAGGGGGAGGGGCCCCGCGAGGAGCCGGGCTGAGGCCGGGGCGAGTGTCCCCAGGACAGGAGAGCCCCGTCCCGTCCCGGAGGAGCAGGAGCTGCACCAACCTTCCCGGGCGGGCGGAAAGGGGCTCGCAGGGAGGTGGAGCAGGACCCAGGAGGGCGGGGATGCCCTCGGGCTCCCGGGGACACTAACAGACACCTGCGCCCCGGGAGAGTGCACCGAGCTCCCTAAGGGCTGCAGCGCGCACGGCGGGACCGACCGGAGCAGCTCGGAGGGGCTCGGGCGGCGGCTCCGCGGAGGGGGCTGCGGGGCGGGAGCGCGAATCCCACAGCGCAGGCCCCGGAGCACAGGGCGCCGGGACACAGCCCAGGATCCGGCCTCCCCCGGGACAGGCAGAGGCCGGGAGGGCCCAGGACAGCAAGGACGCTCCTGCCCCGAGCTGAGCAGATCAGCGGCCCCGCCCCGGAGCCTCCAGGCCCTGCGGACGGAGAGCCGAGAGCCCCGAGCCCCGTAGTTCCTGCGGAGGCTGAATCCAGGCTTCCAGAGTTGCCATAGCAACTGCGGCTGTTCCTCCTGGGACCTCACGGGGTAAACAACCCCCGCTGAGCCCTGCAGCAGGCAGGGGCAGAGCAGCTCCCCCAAGTGCTAACACCTGAAAATCAGCGCAACAGGCCCCTCCCCCAGAAGACCAGCTAGAGGGACCAGTGATACTCCCCCGTGTTCCAATACAACTTGTTTTTGGCCACTCTGCACTGAGCAAAATGACTAGAAGGAAAACCTCACTTCAAAAGAAAGAATCAGAAACAGCCCTCTTTCCCACAGAGTTACAAAATCTGGATTACACTTCAATGCCAGAAAGCCAATTCAGAAGCACCATTATACAGCTACTGGTGGCTCTAGAAAAAAGCATTAAGGCCTCACGAGACTTCATGACTGCAGAATTTAGATCCAATCAGGCAGAAATTAAAAATCAACTGAATGAGATGCAATCCAAACTAGAAGTCCTAACGGCGAGGGTTAACGAGGTGGAAGAACGAGTGAGTGACATAGAAGACAAGTTAATGGCAAAGAGGGAAACTGAGGAAAAAAGAGACAATCAATTAAGGGACCATGAAGACAGATTAAGGCAAATAAATGACAGTCTAAGGAAGAAAAACCTACGTTTAATTGGGGTTCCCGAGGGCGCCGAAAGGGACAGAGGGCCAGAATATGTATTTGAACAAATCCTAGCTGAAAACTTTCCCAATCTGGGAAGGGAAACAGGCATTCAGATCCAGGAAATAGAGAGATCCCCCCCTAAAATCAATAAAAACCGTTCAACACCTCGACATCTAATAGTGAAGCTTGCAAATTCCAAAGATAAAGAGAAGATCCTTAAAGCAGCAAGAGACAAGAAGTCCCTGACTTTCATGGGGAGGAATATTAGGGTAACAGCAGACCTCTCCACAGAGACCTGGCAGGCCAGAAAGGGCTGGCAGGATATATTCAGGGTCCTAAATGAGAAGAACATGCAACCAAGAATACTTTATCCAGCAAGGCTCTCATTCAAAATGGAAGGAGAGATAAAGAGCTTCCAAGACAGGCAGGAACTGAAAGAATATGTGACCTCCAAACCAGCTCTGCAAGAAATTTTAAGGGGGACTCTTAAAATTCCCCTTTAAGAAGAAGTTCAAGTAACTCTGAACGTGAATGGGCTTAATGACCCCATCAAAAGGCGCAGAGTTTCAGACTGGATAAAAAAACAGGACCCATCTATTTGCTGTCTACAAGAGACTCATTTTAGACAGAAGGACACCTACAACCTGAAAATAAAAGGTTGGAGAACCATTTACCATTCAAATGGTTCTCAAAATATACCCTAAAAACTACAGAACACTTCTGAAAGAAATTGAGGAAGACACAAAGAGATGGAAAAATATTCCATGCTCATGGATTGGCAGAATTAATATTGTGAAAATGTCAATGTTACCCAGGGCAATTTACACGTTTAATGCAATCCCTATCAAAATACCATGGACTTTCTTCAGAGACTTAGAACAAATTATTTTAAGATTTGTGTGGAATCAGAAAGACCCCAAACAGCCAGGGGAATTTTAAAGAAAGAAAACCATATCTGGGGGCATCACAATGCCAGATTTCAGGTTGTACTACAAAGCTGTGTTCATCAAGACAGTGTGGTACTGGCACAAAAACAGACATATAGATCAATGGAACAGAACAGAGAACCCAGAAGTGGACCCTGAACTTTATGCTCAACTAATATACGATAAAGGAGGAAAGACGATCCACTGGAAGACAGTCTCTTCCATAAATGGTGCTGGGAAAATTGGACATCCACATGCAGAAGAATGAAACTGGACCACTCTCTTGCACCATACACAAAGATAAACTCAAAATAGATGAAAGATCTAAATGTGAGACAAGATTCCATCAAAATCCCAGAGAAGAACTCAGGCAACACCCTTTTTGAACTTGGCCACAGTAACCGGAGAAGGACAAACAGTGTATGTTCTCATTCATTTGGGGAATATGAATAATAGCGAAAGGGAATATAAGGGAAGGGAGAAGAAATGTGTGAGAAATATCAGAAAGGGAGACAGAACATAAAGACTCCTAACTCTGGGAAATGAACTAGGGGTGGTGGAGGGGGAGGAGGGTGGGGGGTGGGGGTGAATGGGTGACGGGCACTGAGGGGTACACTTGACGGGATGAGCACTGGGTGTTATTCTGTATGTTGGTAAATTGAACACCAATAAAAATTAATTTATAAAAAAAAAAAGTCAACAAAAAATAAATGACCTTTAATATAATATTCTCTTTACATACTTAGCATATATTAAGTACTCAGTAAATAGAAGCTATTATATATTATTCTTAGCAATTCACATGCGTGTGCACAAACATATATGTGTGTATGAATATACATCCTTATATATTATCTGTTACTTATATCAGAAGAAAATGATTGCTCTTTCCATATTGAGCACATATGCGAAAGAAAGAAAGAAATTCATCTACATAGAAATGGGAAACGGAGTGGAAGAGGCAAAGAGGTATTGAGTGAGGAAAAGTTCAGTGAGGTAAAACAGACACTCTCATTAAATTAACTGTTGCAAAATCTCATCCATATTCCAATTTTGAATCTACCAACAGATATGCTTGAAAAGTCTCTATGATGTCAAGTAAACTGAAATCAACTGCCCTTGACCTTAGTTTTTAGTATAAAAATAATACTAGAGCATCTGAGGACAGTGAGTTCTAACAAGTTTCCAGGGTTTCTCATAAGAACAGATGGTTGTGTACTAATTTTTCACCTTGTTTTAAGCTGCTAAATCATAACATGTGTTTATTATGCTTAAATCCACAAAGTCGAAACAATGTTAATTTCTTCCTGGCATTTCATATGCTTCAAATGTTTTTTATTGTTTTCCTAAATAAGGCTATTTCAGTCGTATGGTGGGGAAATCTCTGTATTTACCATGTTTTTCTAATTTAGCAAATTAATACAAATAATGAATCATTTGACTCACATTGCTAATGAATTCCCTAATGTGTGCATTACTCACCAAATAATTATTGAGATAATTGTGTGCCAGGTATTGTTCTAGACTCTGGCAAAAAGAGAAATAAGTGTCAAGTATTGTTCTAGACTCTGGCAAAAAGAGAAATAAGTGTCAGTTTCTAACAGATTTATTAAATCTACTACCAGGGTAGACATACATTTTTTCAATCACTACACAATGTGATCAGAAGTAAATACAAAATACTGTATGGTAAGAAAGGAAGTAATAAATATTCTGTAGGAACAGAAAGAAAGAAATAATGGTATTGCGGAGGTGATATTTTAATTGGGTATTAAAAAGAGCGGCTCAGACAGAAATAGTCAAAGAGAATTTTAAGCAGAGAAAAAATGGTGAGCAGTGTCAGGGAGAGCTGAAAGATCCTGAGACATGCTGGTTTAAGGCAAATGATGCCCCAGGGTGGAAGCATTAGCAACAGAAGCAAACAAACACAGCAGGTATATTTGGAAAGGCATTTGGAAGAATTTGGAGTTTGTCCTGTCAGAACAGAACCCTTTAAGGATTTATTTTCAAAATATTGACTTGGCTCAAGTATTCAAAAATGAAAATCAAATAAAATGGTATAGAAGTAATATTTTCCTGAGTATCTCTTCTTCAGTTTTAAACTGGGCACCACGATATTATACTAGATTTCCAAACAATTTGGAATCTATTCAAGAAGTCTGCTAATGAAAAAAAAAAAAAAAAGAAGTCTGCTAATGAACTATGTAACAATGGTACAAAGTAAAGACATTGTGGCTGATACAAGTCTGGGAGTAAGCTCAGAATAGAATGCTGCTTCCAGGTGAGGTTCCTCTCTCTGCCAATTTACTGTGGAAAGATTTATACCTTAAGGATTCAGGAATCTTTTCCTTCCAGGTTACCCATACATTAATTGTATGCTATCTGTAAAACAATGTTTTTAAAGATTCAGCCCTATAAAAATGTAAATAAATATTTAAAGATGTAGAAGAGCAACATATTTCTTTGGCATGAAATGGTGGTGGTGAGGGGGTTGATCTGCATAGAAAAGATGGAAGAAATAAGGAGTCATGATTTTAAAGAGGCC